AAAGATAGAATTCTAAAAGACTACTGACATACATAAACTAAGAATGTACATATTTTGCACATGTGAATCTAAGTAAGAAAAATAAGCAACAATTCACAAAACTTAACGCTAAATATTGTAATGCCAAGAAATCAGAAAAAGACTTTCTCCTTGATTCTACCTATTAAACTTGCTTTTATTTCTTTACAACCTCGGAATCTCCAGCTTCCATTCTGGTGAATCCTGTCTTGAATTTTCATAAAATAATAATAAAAGAGAAAAGCAGCAGGCACACTAGTGGTCAAAATGTATTCTTTTAAACAAATTCAAATAAATAATAATTTTATTTTTAAATATATGTTTATAATTATGTGCAATTTGTTTAGAGATGTGAAAGAATGCCTACTAAATTTTTTCATCCTAACTTTATTTAAAGCCATAAATTTTATATTGTTTGAAATAACCCTGTATTGTCTTAATTCTAAGAAACAGAGTTAGACTGTATAGTAAGTTGTTAGTTGCAAAAGTTTATTAGCAATTAAGCACTATCATTTCAAAGAGGTAAGAAGAATTTAAAAGTATCTCTGTGCTAGATGGATATAACAATCTGTAACCACAAATTTGTGTTCATTTTACTTTGATCCTTCCTAATGTTCATATTCAAACTTTAAAAAGATATAGCATTCAGTTAATTTGAGGATGTTTTTCTTATTTCTTCAAATATATTTTTGGAAAACCATTTACCTGTTCCTTAATAACTTGGCTCCCTGGCAAGGTTATGTGTATATCTCTTTGATTCTAATTGCAATTTCTTGTTCTTCAGAGGGAAAGGCAAGAGGAGCTATTTTAGCAGTTCAGCTGTTAGCTTTGGATATAATATACTTGAGGTCTAGAATTTTCAAACGTGTGCAGCGTGCCTGTCTTTAATTTTATATCCAGAGAATATTGGCCAAGAACTTAGATAAAGGAACATCACAGGGTTTGCTCAAAGAAGGTGCTACCATTTGAAGTAGAATGGAAAAAATAAGGTTGAAGAATGTATCTAAAAGAAGCAGGTTTGAGGAAAGGACTCAAGAAAATTCTACTGGGACAATAGGAGTCTTTGATAATCAACAAGATGGCATGCCCTGGTTGGGGTTTGGGGAGGTAGAGGCAGTCAATGACTGGATAGTTCTTAGAAAAAACTTCTAAGAAAGCATTGTAAAACTGCTTTCCTGTAAATTTTATTGAAAGGAACAAAATCTGAGTGAAACTAAAGTCATTGATTTCTTTTATCTGTTCTTTGGACTACATAAAAAAAAATTGACTTGGCATATTTACTACTCTCTAACTGGAAAGTCAGCATGGGTTTAAGAATGTTTAAAGAATGTTTAGTAAGACATTTAAATATGAATGTGCATTATAATGTTGTTCAAATAAACTACACTGTAAAAATATATGCTATGAAATGTTTTAATCATAAAACTACAGTGAAAATTAAGTATATGATAGTGTATGTATAACTAAGAAATACTTTACACAAGAAAAATAAGTATTAAGTGATCCTCTGGATATTAAAATAATTAGCAAACTAATAGGTAGAAAAGCAAATATGTATTGTTTATTTTGTTCAATTTTGTTTATTTTGCCAACATTCTAATTTAGTAACCAAGACAATTCCCTGTGATATCATCTAGATCATATCAACCACCAAGAAACCCCCACAATGTTTCTCAAAATGCAAAGATAGTTTGAATGTGGGAAAGTAGTTAAACTTCAGTCATCAATGACAATTTCATGAGATTCTCTGATTCATCAAGACATTTTAACTATTTTTGCTTAGGGTTCAAGTTTAAAAGTTCTGTGAAGAGAGAAGAAAAATGTTGATTATTATGATAGCATTATCACATCATTTTTCAGCCTCAAAGTAATTTAATATAAATTACTCTGAATAATTCCAGGTGAAAGACATGTGAACCTCTGATTGTTTTTTGAAATTTCTGCAGAATCTTGGAAGAGATCAAGGTATCAATTAGCATATACTTAGCTTTGCTATTTCTTCTAATAAATGTTAGAGTAATTTCAATATGCTTAAAATTGTGTAATTCTTCTGCCGATAAATAACTTGAATCAGTCCTCAGCTTTGTGTCTGATAGTCACAGTTTGAGAGGTTATCTGACTGCTCAGTTGTTGCTAGGAAGCCCTGTGCATAAAATGATAATAATTTCATTTAAAGATTAATAAAACAATTCCACTCAAAATTGACAAAGCACATTATTTAACTGAAATTTCTATAGGTTTATTTTTTAAAATATAACCATAACTTTAAACATTAAGTTATAATTTTAATTATAGGTAAAAGGGGCTAAGAAATCCAAATGGAAACATTTTCAAAAAGGAAACTTTTTTTCTAACCTATTTCATTGGAAAATATCTACTGATTTTTCAGTAAAATTTAACTTAAGCAAAAGGCTTTCCATTGTAGATGCCTTTATGCAATTTTTTTTTAACTTCTAGGTCCACTTGCAGGGTCATTATCACATATGGCACTAGGCTATTAAAGACTGCTGTACTATGTAATCATCATCTTGAGATAAAGAAATACAGACATTATATAATGAATGAAAACCTTTATTATAATCTACATTATTTGTATTAGAGATTATTTTAATGTCTAGGTTCATACATATCAAGGATATAAATGTTATGTATTAATTTTCACACAAATAATTTCAGCTCCAAAAATTTTTCTAAAACAAACTAGGATAAAAAGCGGGGGTGGGGGGCGGCTTCCAAGAGAAAAATTTTTAAAAGAAAATGGAATTATCAATATGGTGCTATTTTTTGTTTGTTTTTCTGAAGGGTTAGATTGAGTTTAAAACTTTTTACTTTTTTTCTTTTTTATTGGCTTTTAAATTTAATACTGTCAAAATAGAAGAAAAGCAATCCTCATAAATGCCTGAAGAGCTAAATAAGATCTCAAAGGACAACCTCGCTATGTGAAATCAAGCGACATGTAACAAAATGTCACATGAAAATGAGAAATCCTGTGGCTTTTTGCTTTCCACTGACAAGTATATTAAAGAGATATGGCCGTGCAATTCACTCTGAGTATTGATTGAGAGGTTCCTTCTTTGTCTAAAATATATTATATACCAAAGACAAAAGCATGAAGAGAGTAATTCCTACTTTTGAATAAAGTCAGCACATTTAAATATGAATGTGCATTATAATTTGTTCAAATAAACTATACTAGGCATATAATTAATCCTCAAACTATAGATAAGTAATTTAAAATGAAATAAATTTTCCTAAGTAGCCATATAAAATCTAATGGTGAAAATAATACTTCACACTAAATATAGGAAAGGAACATGGAGCAAACAGAGATTCAAGACCTTGAGATTGGTTATAAATAAATGGTTGCCATGTAGTTTTCTTATCTTCTAGACCAGCACTGTCTAATAGAAAAATGACAGTCACAAATGCCAATCATATATGTAGTTTTAAGTTTAATGTCCACATTCAAAAGAATAAAAAACAGGTGAGTTTAATTTTAACAGCATGTATCTTTAATCCAATATATTCATAATGCCATCATCTCAACATAATCTATATAAGATTATTAATAATATATTTTACATGCTTTTAAAAATATCTTCAAAATCTGGTATGCATTTTACATATAAAACACATTTTAATTTAGACTAGTTATAATTTCAAGTGCTGAATAACCACATGTGGCTAGTGGCTACCAACTAGACAGTGCAGTTCTAGAATATGTCATTACTCTTATATTACTAGTGGAATTTCGAGACTATCTCATTAATATCCAGCAGAATGAATAAATGTCTACCTAAATACAAGCTTATTATGGTACCCACTTCTTGTTGAGTCATTTTCTTTTTTGTTTTTGGTTTTCGCTGTTGGACTTTTTAAATACCTAAATAAAAAAATCATAACATTTCTTACATAATAAAAGGATTCCTTAATAAAATTTTCTTATCAATCCAATAGAATGGTTAATAGAGTTATGAGTCACATGGTTATTGCCAATTTCCAAAACATCCATATGTAATAAATATACTAAATTCAATCCTGTATTGTAGTTGTTAAAGTTGTCAATTGTGGTTATACTTAGATTTGCGCTAGTATATGTAGTAAGGTATTTTTGTATTTTTAAAAGTATATTCTACTATTATATGTAAACTTTATTGTCTATATATTACAAACACAAATCTGTACCTTTACTAGAGAGTTAACTTATGGCCATTTAAGAAATGTATCAGTTCATTTGATAATCCCAAATCATAGATAGCTCTACAGGAAAATTTCTGATGGACTCCATTGCAGGACTCAGTAGTAGAACTTAAATCAAAATTGCTTCATGAAATTATAAATTTAATTGGGAAAACAAGTATGTATGTCTATGTCACATCTCCAAGTCAGGTGAGGGAAGTCTACATTAAACTCACCTGACCACCAGCAACTTGAACAATAATTACAATTTTTAAATGCAGAAGTTCATGTTTTGAGGAGGATATGATATATTGACCTGTTAAAGACTTGATTTAGTGTCAAGAGTAGTTTAAATCAATGAAGCCATAGACAGAAGCTTAGAATGTCAGCAAGGAGAGCAACTTTTAGCCTAAATATTGTAGAAGCACAAAATAGTTTTAGAAAGGAGATGGAAAATGACTCGCAAATAGTGACTTATTTTTCTAGTTATAAAGGTAAATATATTTTAATCATTTGGGATCTGGTGGCCTCTGTTACTAAAGGAAAATAGCATTACTATTTTTAGTTGCAGGCAAGAAAGTAATTTTAGAAGAAAAAAGCCTATTGAAATTTAATGAAAAGAAATCATTGTGGTAGGTAGTCTTCGGTACTGGTCAGATTATAGAAATCATCACTTTTTTATTACAATAACACCACTTACCCAACTTTTTGCTTCTATCTTTACTCTCCTGGTAAAATCATTATGTGTTTAAAAGGGAGAGAGAACAAAACAGGTAAAGCTGTAGCAAAAGGTACAAGGATACAGTCCCTTCCTGGAAAGAGGATTTTGTGGCGAACCATTTCTCCCATAATGCATCCCACAGACCATATATCCACTAGAACAGGAGAGAGAGGGTAGTGAAGAAAAGGGAGGAAAGTAAAGTTAACTAAGATAATTGACTTCTGAAGGAGGAGGAAAAAGAACAGTTTGATTAAAAGTACAATTTTCACCTCCCACCAAAAGTTGGCCAAAAGGTGAATTGAAACCAGCACTACACTATGACATAAACAGTGTCTAGTATTAGAACTCAAATTAATCTTTAAAAAACCATTACTTTGTGGATTCTGTACATTGCCTCTCAGTAGTGCCACAAAGTGGTGACGTTGGTGACAGAGAAAAGCAATAGCTAAACCAAAAGTATCTCCATGGCAGGTGACAGCTAAAGGCCACCAAAGGGTTTTCTGTGTCATTTTCTGGATGCAGAGAAAACGATATTAACTTGTAGAGGTGGCTATTTTCACTTTCTATTCTATTCAGTTACAGATAATAGGGCAACAAGAGACCACCTTTTTTTCAGGGGGCCGGGGCAGGAGCAAAACAAGATAAATTCAACCAAATCCAAGAAACCAGGAAATAACTGGAACCATGGTTTAGAGGCAAAAGAATTGGAATTCCTGGTATTTAGGACTTAGCTTTTCCTTCAGAAGTTTATTCTTGTAAATAAACATCAGTTTTAGTTTCCATTTGAAATATTTCAAGAAAAAGGACATATGATGAATTAGCACATGTATAAAGGAGTCATCTGGAAGGAAAGTGAAAAAAGTATTAAACGTGTTAAAAATTGTTACGTACATATATTTATTTCCAAATTGTCAAACTTGTTAGGAAAACATGCTTTGCCTTCTCTTACCAATCTTTACCCCTTTCCAACTTGTTTTGTATTATGGACAAAGGGAACTTTTGGGCAGAATCATTTGGCCGAATTGTTCCATGGGGAAGGAAGGCGGGGCTAGGTGCAGGGGACAGCAGGGCATGCCTGATGTGGGAGCAAGCAGGTTTTTCTGCATGATAACCTTCCACCAGTTGGTGGGAGGGCAGCACCAGGGTGCCAGGCAGGCGTCCTCCATGGACTTAGAGAAGTCGAAAACCTAAGGCAGCGACTTGCAATTCTTTCTAGTGAGGAAAGGGAAAGGGATTTTAATACCAGCTATTTGCAGTGCCAAGATCTGAAAAGCCCGAATAGGCAAATTCAGATCCTCTCCCCCACCCCAGTCTCCTGTACATTCTTGATTCTTGACTTTGTTTCTCAATAACTTGTGAAGAAAGTATAAAAATGTCCTCTTTTCTGAATGAATTAGATGTGGTATTGCCTAGTGAGGAGGACTAGATTCATCTCTTCTGAGTCAAAAGGTGCCAGAACTCTGACGTTGCCCACCAGGGTGAACCTGACCTTCGTAAGAGGTGACTTTTTAACTTCCTCTGTATAAATGCACACATACATTATCTGTCTTCTAATCTAAGAGTATACAAAGAAGTTTCTGCAAACTTCAGTGGCCAGGGAATTTTCACAAAAGTACCCTGTAGCACCTGAACATAAAAATACCCTGATTATTTTTATAGAACTTATTAAAATAGTCTGCTAAAACTAAATACAATAGAATATAAAATAAATATTTAAGATACATTGAATACATATACAATCCTAATTTAAAACTATTTTAATTCCTAAGTATATTGAATATGTTTTTCAATATGGTGCATTATTTGTAAGATATAGTCTCATCAAAATAATACACTGCAATGCTTTCTAATAGATATTTAATAAATCCTTAGTTTTAATCAACAACACTCAATTGTAATACATTTTTAAGATTCCTTCCACAGCCTTCATTTTAAAGTGTTCGTGAATATTAGATTTTCTTTAGGAAAGCAGTAGTGTCAAATTTGACATTTTCCTTTTTTACGATTTTTGGAATATATAAGAATTTATTAGGCAATTGCTACTCTAAATATTTCTTACAGAGCAACTTAAATTATTACAGAAATTCTTATTCAATTTAAATAATTTGGATTATTTCAAAGTTGTCTGTGAAGATTTTCACTCCCAGGATTTGTGTCACATTTTTGCTTGTCTTTTTCTAGAAATACAGTCATCAGTCTGAGATACGACATAAAAGCCAAATGGCTAAATGCGGTAGATTCCTTCCTGCTTTCACACTCATGCTCAGCTGAGCTGCAACCCAAATAGCAATTTTTCTCAATATCTAGGCACGTGTGCTAATCAGTATCCACTTGACTGTTTAATCAGACTCCATTTACAATTCTTTTTCACTATTAACATTTAGTGCTCTTCTAGCAAAGCTGACTTGTCAATAACATCCTTCACATTTTTAATGAGTGTTTCTTACCAGTAGTATTAAAAAAAAAAAAAAAAAAACCCTGAATATGCTATCTGGCAGCCCTACCTTATAAAAGCATGTACATGAAAGAGAACATTCCCCTTGGCTATCTACAACGTGCACCCATTTTATTCACGGTTTTGATGCTGCTCTCCAGAAGCATCCCTACCGTTCTCCTTGTAGCCCATCCCCAGGATGACCTCCGGGGCTCTGTAATAACGTGTCACCACATATGGAGTCATCATGAAGCTTGTGCCTGCTGTCCTGGCCAGTCCAAAGTCCAGGATTTTCAATGTGCAATCAGACTTGACTACAATGTTACTTGGTTTTAAATCCTAACAATAAGGATAAGGGAAAAAATTAAAAGCCAGTATCAAGTGAAACATGTTATTTCCATTGACTCAATCAACATAGCAATCTTGCAGTAGCACTGATGAGGTCCCCCTGACCTACAGAGCCCTAAACAAGGCAAATTATTACTGCTACAAATAAGTTAACTGTTAGTTTTTGGATTAAAAAAAATCTTCAGAAGGTTTTTTAATCCCAGAAAAAAATTGTATTATCATTTTCACAATTTACACTGATCTTGGGATGAGGTTTTAGAAAAAAAAAAATGTATCATTGATTGTCTTCTGTTACATTTCTCCTTAGGACAACATAAATCTTTCAACATATATATCATTTCTAGGCCTGACAGAAGAACAGATCAGGGCAGCTGTCTTTATGCTGCCAGAAACAAACTATGGAAATGAATTGTCTTATTTCAGTTGCACATATGACTTCTGCCAATCAAGGAGCTGAAAGCATGAGGCTTCTAAGAAGCTGCATCTCAATGAGCCAAAAACATAACATTGAACAAACTCAACTACTAGAATTTCCTTCTACAATTAGTGAACTAGGTGCCAATTCCAATATCAAAGAAATGAGGAAGTATATTATATTTGACCAATGCCCCCTGTATAAAGAAAATAATCTACAGTTACTCTTCCTCTTAAAGCATTTGAATTGTAATCCTAGAGAAGGTGTTCTTACCCTGTGAATAATTCCAGCAGAGTGGAGGTGCTTAATGCCACACAGCATTTGGTACAGCAGGTAAGACATTCGCTCGTGGTCTAATTCCATCTGAATCACTTGACATAAGTTGGCATCCATCAGTTCCATTACTAAGTAACTAGAAGGGTAAATCCACAATGTTAGTTCCAGGTCACGAGATCTATGAAGTCCTTTCAGTTAGTCAGAATTCTCTCCTAACTCTGTAAGTCTTCTGAACTTCTTAGCTCTGCCTTTGACTGAATCAAGACTATGAGAATTTCCAGGTATTGCATGTGTGTTAGCTATACAAACCCTACCACAAGGTTGCTAGTAGAAAAAGTATTTATTAGTGTGTGGTTTGTGTCCATAGAGTTTTTAACCTTAATTTTGCCTTCACTTTCCCCTGTATACCCTCAACTCTTTTGTGAGTATTATAATTTTAAATAAGAAAAAAATTCAGAACAGCTTCTTCCTAAATTCAATGTATCTGTGTTAAGGACAAGGTACTAGGGAATCACTTCCTCTCCTCCATCTGTTGTCATTACTGGGTAGACGTTGCACAAAATCAATGACACTACAAAGATCGAAAGAATAAAGATAATTTTCATGTCCCTTTTATTACTATTTCTTTTTATTTGTTTGTTTGTTTTGAGATGGAGTCTCGCTCCGTCGCCCAGGCTGGAGTACAGTGGTGCGATCTCGGCTCACTGCAACCTCCGTCTCCCAGGTTCAAGCAATTCTCCTGCCTCAGCCTCCTAAGTAGCTGGGTCTACAGGTGCACACCACCACACCTGGCTAATTTTTGTATTTTCAGTAGAGGCAGGGGTTTCACCATGCTGGCCAGGATGGTCTCGATCTCCTGACCTCGTGATCCATCTGCCTTGGCCTCCCAAAGTGCTGGGATTATAGGCGTGAGCCAGCATGCCTAGCCTTATTACTATTTCTTCAGGTAAATTAACTCATTGTAGAAAGTTCATGGAATCTATTAATAATCATAAATAAATAAGCCTTCCCTGAGTGACCAAGAGTATGGAACAACAGAGCATATAAAGCCACAAGGTCAAAAGGAGCAGAATGTCTTTCCACACACAAACAGAATCTTCTTGACCTATCACTGGACTCCTTTCATTTGACCCCACCTCTTACCTCTCTTTGATCAGTACAAGGGATTTCAACTGTGTGTGTGTGTGTGTGTGTGTGTGTGTGTTATTCCCTTGGGCTATCTAAGTGCTGTGCTCTCCCTTCCTTTATGAGTTTTGTTACTTACACATCTTGGAACTCCTCCAGCGTTTTCTGGGGTGTGAAGACATTTAATAAACTAATAATCTGAAAGAGAGTGGAAGGGACAGAGGAAAAGAGAGAAAGAAAAAAGAGAGAGAATGTATTATTTTTAAATTTTATTTCAACTCAAAGTCACTCACTAATGCTATGGTGGAAATGGAGAAGTTGGAAAAATTTCTAGAGCTGTCTCACAGGACACAGAAAAGTATACTCAGAAAGAACAGATGATCTGTCTTCAGGTTAATAATGCAGCTAAAAAGCTCAATTCTTGGGCAGAAGAAAGAATCAGAGAGATGCATAATTGTTACACTGCTTTCAAGTGTGATTCCTCGTGGCAGAATATGGGCCTTTGGGGGATTAAACAAAAAAGGAAGAAATGCGGTGTGAGAAGAGAGGTGGCAGTAAAACACTCAGCAAAACATAGCAAGGGGATACTTCTCCTCCAGATGAACAAAGTCGTATTCTATTTCATGACTTTTTTGTGTTGTTACTTTATATTTTTTCACTTCTACCTCACCCTCAAATATTAAACTAATGCTCCAATAATATGTGTGGGGAAAGGTGCATTCTAGATGATATCAATGATGAATTTAGTAGCAAATTATTTAAAAGTTTTCTACATTCAGTTAGAAGCTTTTTGTTTCCTGCTTTATTTTATATATTAGCTAGTAAAGAAATCTACCTTCTAGCATAAGCAAATTTTGTAAAAACCCCTTGTCACATTTCCAAATAGAGTTCATAGATCAATAACTCAAAATGTTCTTCCAGCTAAATATTTGGTACTAACGTGCCAGCAGGAAATGAATATAAAAATATACAGATACAAATCTTATACTCACAAGATAGTTGCAACTATTTTATAAAAAATAGATAAGTACAAGGTCAAGATTTAAGCAGCTTCAAAGCATCAATCAATGAATTTCAGTAAATTCTATAAATGATATAAAGACATATGGAGTAATAAACATAAAATGAAATTAAACACCTGAGAAATTGACTCAATTCTATGGAATGTTTTATGTCTCATGTAGTTTTAACTTATTGAGAAATTGTTGACAAAAAATAATCATAGTACCATCCAATATTTTCTAGTATACATATATATGGCAATGGTTGTCATATAGTTTTTTAAAAAATCATCTTTTCTAAAGCAACCTTTCAGTGTGAAATATTCAAATAGAAATAAAATTGTTTTAAAATTATCTTTAAAACTTGTGATTAAAGTGCCATGTTATTCTGTATACTCAGTGCTAGTGAGTGTTGAAAACTGCCTATGAAGTACATCTTTCACTGTAACATCTACAGTTTCTCTAGGACTTTATCAATCTCATAAAGTAATTTATTTCATTTTGATATTTGTTCAAACAAAAACATTAGCGATTGTGTATAGAGCACACATTACACCCACACAAACATTCACATGAACACTCCTTAACAATGGATAAATGCTAACCCAGATCAACTAGTGAACAAATAATCCAGATAATCTAAGAAATCTAGAAAATAGCATTACAATTTTAAATAAATCAAGTTTTATTGTTTTAAAAGGTAATTTATCAAGATCTATTCCCTACTGTATGTTCTTATTTTCCCTTTTCCTATGACCTTGTTTTATCACTTTTCACCCTTCGAGAAGTTCTCCTCTAGCCTTCCTTTGCTGTCTTATAAATTCTAATTACTAGCAAGAGCCAATTTTAAAAATGCATTTGTAGAAGGAGATTATCACAGCTATAAAGTTTCCATTTTAATTCAACAGTTTCCAGACAGGAATCTCAGTTCTTTTATCCCAGTATCTTCAGACACACGGATGTAAATCCGTGTTTGTCAGGCCCCACTAGTTCCTAGAATTGAATATTTATATTCTTTTTTTTAAATAACAATTTTAATCTAATTTTCAGTTGATAATAAATACAGAAAACAGGCGACCAAACTAACACCATAAAGAAGTATTTTCTAAATAGATTTTCTTCGTATTATTAAAGATTTAATGAGATTACTTTACTCTCCCTTTGCTTTCCACACTATTAACAGAGTTCTTATTAATGTGGAATTTACATTTGGTTGTAGTGGATTTCCTCTTCATAAAAAGTTCCAGAAATGTGTTTCTGCAGACTTCTGCATACATACATACACACATAAAAGGAAGGTAGCAGGTGGGGTGCTATTTATAAATTATCACTGCAATCTGGAACTCTTTTTTAGGCTTCATAAATATAAGTCTCCAAAATTTCAGTCAAGAACGGGAAGTATTATTCTCTCAAACTGACCAAGCAAGTGGGCATTTCTCCACATTGTATTGCATTACAGGGTCTGGCAGGAGGATGAGGGAAATATAAATACATGTATGGAAAACTTTCCATGCATTTGATTCATTGCTTATATCCATCCATTTTCCATTGCCAATGTTATGCTCCATCCTCCTTGGCATAACAGAATACATTGCATTGATCATGTGGCTAATCTTGCACTTACCTTTATTTAACATACTGAAAGAACAAATTAGTATATAACTCTTCATAGGAACCATCCTTTCTATCATTTCTATATTCCTTTCTAGAAGTCTCATGTTTGTTGCATGGCTATATTAGATTTGGGTGTGCAGTTCATAAAATTTTAATTTCTTGGTGAGGCCTTTGCTGCTTGGCCTATTTAAATGGGTAAACCTATCCCACCACACACTGACCAGTATTTTTAAATCTTCCTTGTTTGCTTTGCCTTACTTAATAGCACTTATCATCACCTGACATTTTACACATTGACCTGTCTTATTGTGGATCGCCTTGCTCTTGCCAATAGAGCATGAACTCCACCTGGACAGGGATTTGTCTGTTTTCTTCACCATCTAGATCTGTGCCTGGCACATTTTATTCATTCAACACATATATGTCAAGTGACTGAATTAAAAAGTCATCAGGGTAGAGGAATAGAGGAAAAGAGAAATACTGTCATGGGGCCCAGATCTGCATATTTGCATTTAATTATCTTTCAACTTAATACTAATACATTTGTGTCTTCTCAGTGCTACTTGTAGATGGCGAGCATTATGGACAAGATACCTGGTTTATAAAACCACGCTGGTAATGTGTTCTATATAATTTTCATACATAAGAACTTTGTAGAGATAACTCTACAAAGGTATTCTACAACTTTAGAATGATTTTACTTGTAATAAAATTATTTTTTTATTTTTAAGAAAATAAAATTTTATTCATAATTTATTACGTATTTATATGTAAAATATATTCGATGTATTTATTATAATTTATTTATTAATAAAGGTTGTCATTAAAATAATGAATTCTCTCCTATTTATCTTTACTAGGAACAAGTGGAGCACAGAATGAATTCTAGAGGTCTTGGCCTGTGATTGAAGGAGCTTAGATTCTGAAGTAAAGAAAGTCCTTTAATGGTCTACCCAGCTGAGTTCTGATGAGAAAAAGCTCTTGATCCCATTCTCAAGTGCTTTGCAAATATGTACTTGCATACTTGCCCATCCCTGAAAACAATAAGATGCCAACACACAGTGGATTCACTGAACAATTAGAGGCCACCACCAGACTACAGCTGAAACTAAAAGGAGATAACATGAATAAAACTCAACTGTTAATAATTAAATCTAACTTATAAATCGAAATTAAACCTAAATTGTAAAGAAATATAGCATGGTGCTTTGTAGGTTTTTTTTTTTTTTTTTTTTTTTCCCCCTGGCTTTTGGCTTTGCTTGTCTTGTTTCTTTTTTGGAAAGCATGAAGCTCTCAATTTGGAGCAAGATAACCAAATATGGTACATTTTCTAACTAGGGAAATATTTATAAAATTCAGCACTTCCACATCATATGGTTTTTAGGTGATTTTTAAGCAGAAAGCTACCACGAGGACAATGAAATTGAATGCAGCATATTGGCAGGATAAACAACCTTAAGAGGCAGGAATTGCAAAGTAAAGAAAGCCTTTCTTACTCAAGTACAGACACATTTTCTTTTTCCAATCTCACAAACTCCCACCGCCAGAATTTTAAAAATAACAAAACTCACGTTTTTATGGTTCACACACTTCATGAGGACCAGCTCCCGGTACGCTCTCTTGGCATGGGTTTGGTTCTGAAAGGGTCTGCTGAGCTTCTTAATGGCCACATTTCTGTCAAGGACAGCATCATACGCGGCACTGTAGAGATCCAAGAGCAACTCAGAATTAAGAGCAAAAGGTTCCTTAGAACTCTTGCCTACTTGACTAAGGACACAGGTAAAGAAAATGCTATTTTGGAATCTTACTCAGATTTTGTATACTCTGGTCACATGCCAATCAGGCTGTAAGTAAAGATATAAGTGACTTGTATAAGAATATTCTACATGCTAGAAGGATGAAGAAGAGTTGAAGGAAGTGAAGGAGAAGGGAGAAACAGGAGAAGGGGAGAAGGAGAAGAGGGCAAAGGAGAAGAAAAAGATCTTGCCAAGAATATAGAATATAATTGCCTCAGTAAGTTGGTGGAATAAGAAGTAAGACAGACATTCAAATTTCCCACTAGTCATGAGACTATAGCAAGTCATTTAATCCCTCTGAGCTTGAATTTCTCATCTGTTAATATATGATATTTAATTTTTTATAGCTATAAAACTTCATTGTTCTTTGGTTGTTTTAAATCAACATTTTTTTCTATACCCATTCACAAGAACCAGGTGTTTTGTTTGTTTGTTACTGTTTTTTAGAAACAGAGTCTTGCTATATTCCCCAGGCTGGCCTTGAACTCCTGAGCTCAAGCTATCTTCCTGCCTCAGTCTCTTTAGTAGCTGTGACTACAGCCACATAATATGGCACCCAACTAAGAACCAATTTTTTTTTTTTTTTTTTTTTTGAGACGGAGTCTCGCTCTCTTGCCCAGGCTGGAGTGCAGTGGCCGGATCTCAGCTCACTGCAAGCTCCGCCTCCCGGGTTCACGCCATTCTCCGGCCTCAGCCTCCCGAGTAGCTGGGACTACAGGCGCCCGCCACCTCGCCCGGCTAGTTTTTTGTATTTCTTAGTAGAGACGGGGTTTCACCGTGTTAGCCAGGAAGGTCTCGATCTCCTGACCTCGTGATCCACCCGTCTCGGCCTCCCAAAGTGCTGGGATTACAGGCTTGAGCCACAGCGCCCGGCCCTAAGAACCAATTTTTAAGGTGTGATGTTAATTGCCATAAAAGCACTTGTGGGCTGATGATCAAAGTGTACTCTCATTAACAACAACAAAGCTCAAAATAAGAAATGCAATCAGGGAATTTTAGAAACATAAATAACTGCATTTAAATACAAAGACAAAAATAAATGCTATTCATATGTGAAGCTTTCACACCGAGAATGAACATTTACAATGCTTTGAAAATAGGGGTGCTTTTACACTGTTGCTTTGAAAAAGCAATGTAAATATTTGGTGCTATTTCTCTCATATGTAGAGTACATAAGTTTAGAGATCAAAGGAGAAAGTGAGAGAGGCTCTTTTTGCCATTATACCTAATGATGCACTCACAAAATATGTAACCCATCCCTGAAACTTTGAGTTCTGCTGGGTTTTATCTTAGTTGTCAGGTGGAAATGCAAAACCAGAATCCACTACAACTGATCTACTAAATTAGAAGTAACATTGACCACTGAAAGCTCACGCCACAGAACTCGGAGCCAGAAATGGAATTGCTATACCGTAAGAAAATGACAGATTCACAGAATAAGGTTGGAGAAAGTCTTAGAGTTCACCGGGTCCATACTTCCATTTAACACTCATTCCTCTCTAAACTACGTCCATGAAAACTTTCACCAGTCTCTGTCTGCCCATCTCCAAAAACATGGAAATCATTGTATCTAAGCAGCTCTTTCTATTGTTGGGCAGCTTTGAGAATAGAAATGCCATCACTCTGATAAACAGTTATCTTTCTGCGGTTTCCACTGACTACTGTTAGTCCTGCCTTCCAGGGCAACTCAAAATAAAACATTTCCTTTCCATTATTAACCATAATATATGAAATCTATTAAAAGGCTGCACACAATGCCTGGCCTAGAGTAAACACTCAGTTACTCTTAGCTTTTAGCACTTTTCCCCTAAGTCTTTTCTTTCTTAAATATTACCAATCCCCTACCATCACTTGTCAGATGTGGTTTCAAGTCCCATCACTATCTGGTCAGTTTCCTCTGAATAAACTCCAGTGTGTCAATATGCTCTGAAAATGCAGACCCTGTGCTAAATAAACATTGCTACTCTGGGTAGAGAGTGTTACTGAAGATTAGGGTAGAGCTAGTAACTCTTTCATTCATTCCTTTGCTCATTCATTCAACAAACCTGTTCTGACATAGTTAAAACAGCTAAGTGTGTCCCGGAATTCTTTAATAATGACATTCCACACTATTTTTTCTTTCACTTTTTAAGCTATTTTATTTTATTTTATTTAAAGTTCCTGGGTACATGTGCAGAATGTGCAGGTTTGTTACATAGGTAAATGTGTGACATGGTGGTTTGCTGCACCTATCAACCCATCACCTAAGTATTAAGCCCAGCTTGCATTAGCTATTTTTCCTGACGCTCTCCCTCCTCTGCTTCCTGGCCCCAGTGGGCCCCAGTGTGTGTGATTCCCCTTCTGTATCCATGTTTTCTCATTATTCAGCTCCCACTTAGAAGTGAGAACATGCAGTGTTTGGTTTTCTGTTCCTGCATTAGTTTGTTGAGGATAATGGCTTCCAGTTCCATCCATGTCCCTGCAAAGGACAGATGTCATTCCTTTTTATGACTGCATAGTATTTCATGGTATATATGTACCACGTTTTCTTTATCCAGTCTATCATTGATGGGCATTTGGGTTGATTCCACGTCTTTGCTCCTGTGAATAGTGCTGCAATGAACATATGTGTGCATGTATATTTATAACAGAATTATTTATATTCCTTTGGGTATATACCCAGTAATGGAATTTCTGGGTCAAATGATATTTCGGTTCTAGGTCTTTGAGGAATGCCACACTGTCTTCCACAATGGTTGAACTAATTTACATTCCCACCAACAGTGTAAAAGCATCCCTATCTGCAGCCTTGCCAGCAAATGTTGTTTCTTGACTTTTTAATAATCACTATTGTGAACGATGTAAGATGGTATCTCATTGTGGTTTTGATTTGCATTTCTCTGATAACCAGTAACGTTGAGCTTTTTTTCATGTTTGCTGGCCACATAAATGTCTTCTTTTGAGAAGTGTCTGTTCATGTCTTTTGCTCTCTTTTTATGAGGTTGGTTTTTTTCTTGTAAATTTGTTTAAATTTCTTGTAGACTCTGGATATTAGACCCTTGTCAGATGGATAGATTGCAAAAGATTTTTCTCATTCTGTAGGTTGTCTATTCAGTCTGATGATAGTTTCTTTTGCTGTCCAGAAACTCTTTAGTTTAATTAGATCCCATTTGTCCTTTTTTGCTTTTGTTGCAATTGTTTTTGCCATTTTCATCAGGAAATCTTTGCCCATGCCTATATCCTAAATGGCATTGGCTAGATTTTCTTCTAGGGTTTTTACAGTTTTGGGTTTTACATTTATGTCTCTAATCTATCTTGATTTAATTTCTGTATAATGCATAAAGAAGAGGTCCAGTTTCAATTTTCTGCATATAGCTAGTCAGTTTTCCCAGCACCATTTATTAAATAGGGAATGCTTTCCCCATTGCTTGTTTTTGTCATATTTGTCAAAGATCAGATGGTTGTAAATGTGCAGTCTTATCTCTCAGTTCTCTATTCTGTTCCATTGGTGTATGTTTCTTTATTCTATTTTTTTTTTTTTTGGACAAGTACCATGCTGTTTTGGTTATTGTAGCCTTGCAGTATAGTTTGAAGTCAGATAGTGTGATGCCTCCAGCTTTCTTCTTTTGGTTTAGGATTGTCTTGGTTATTGGGCTCTTTTCTTTGTTCCAAATGATTTTGTAAATAGTTTTTACTAATTCTGTGAAGAATGTCAATGGTAGTTTAATGGGAATTGCATTGAATCTATAAATTACTTTGGGCAGTATGGCCATTTTCACAATATTGGTTCTTCCTACCCATGAGCATGGAATGTTTTTTCATTTGTTTGTGTCCTGATTTCCTTGAGCAGTGGTTTGTAGTTATCTTTAAAGAGGTCCTTTATATCCCTTGTTAGCTGTATTCCTAGGTATTTTATTCTCTCTGTAGCAATTGTGAATGGGAGTTCATTCATGATTTGGCTCTCTGCTTGTCTGTTGGTGTATAGAAATGTTTGTGACTTTTTTAGATTAAATTTGTATCCTGAAACCTTACTAAAGTCACTTATCAGCTTAAGGAGCTTTTGGGCTGAGATTATGGTGTGTTCTAGATATAGGATCATGTCATCTGCAAACAAAGACAATTTGATTTCCTCTCTTCCTATTTGAATACCCTCTGTATTTCTTTCTCTTGCCTGATTGTCCTGGCCAGAATTTCCTTTACTATGTTTAATAGGAGTGGAGAGAGAGCGCATCCTTGTCTTGTGTCAGTTTTCAGGGGGAGTGCTTCCAGCTTTTGCCCATTCAGTATGATAGTGGCTGTGGGTTTGTTGTAAATGGCTCTTATTATTTTCAGGTATGCTCCTTCAATACCTAGTTTATTGAGAGTTTTAACATGAAGTGATGTTAAAGTTTATCGAAAGACTTTTCTGCATCTATTGAAATAATCATGTGGTTTTTGTCTTTAGTTCTGTTTGATGTGATGAACTGCATTTATTGATTTGAGTATGTTAAACCAGCCTTGCATCCTGGGGATGAAGCCAACTTGATTGTGATGGATAAGCTTTTTTATGTGCTGTGGGATGCAGTTTGCCAGTATCTTATTGTGGATTTTTGCATCCGTTTTAATCAGGGATATTTGCCTGAAGTTTTCCTTTTTTGTTGTTATATCTCTGCCAGGTTTTGGTATCAGGATAATGCTGGCCTCATAAAATGAGTTAGGAAGGAGTCCCTCCTTTTCAATTGTTTGGACTAGTTTCAGAAGAAATAGTACCAGCTCCTCTTTCCCCCTCTGGTAGAGTTCAGCTATAAATCCATCTGGGCTTTCTTTTGGTTGGTAGGCTATTTATTACTGCCTGAATTTTAGAACTTGTTATTGGTCTATTCAGGGATTCAGCTTCTTCCTGGTTCAGTTTGGGGAGGGTGTATGTGTCCAGGAGTTTAACCATTT